GGGCGCATATATCCTTTCTGATTGGTGTTTCTAGTTTCTTGGGATATATTCCTAGAAGTGGGATCACTGGGTCAAATGGAAGTCCCATTTTTATTGTTTTGAGGAAACTCCATACTGTTCTCCACAGTGGCTGCACCAGTCTGCATTCCCACTACTATAGAATTTAAGTCCACTAAACAAGCTTCCTTAACAGTGTTGCCCAATTTAAGAGAGAACCAAGAAAAAAAGCAGAGATTTCTGACTAAGAATGCAGCTTTGTAGCTTTGCTCCCTCCAGTTTGAATGCAGAGGCAAAAAGGAGTGTTAGGAGTGGGGATAATAGGTGCTTAACTCACTCCATGTCTCAAAGGAAGGTGTTCTCTACACAAGGCAAGAAAGCTCTGAGCACTGGAGCTTGTGCAAGGACGCTCCTTGGGAACGCCATGGTCAGGTTGCAAACTGGCAGCTCTTGTCCCTAACCTGCGGAATAGCACATGTGGCTATCAGTTCCTGCTCCTCCCCCACCAACTTCTCTTTCCTCTCTGCCCTGTGTTTTCATAAAGTTTTCTTTGGGCACTACCTTTAAATCCCTCCTCTGCCTCATCTTAAGATATTTATAAATTTATATTCTTATTACGTATTCATGAATCCTATTACAAACAACATCGTATTTTATCATCTTTTCTACACAAAATGCAAATCCATAACCATTTTGTTGTTGTTGTTGTTAATCCTCACCTGAGGATATTGTTCCCTTGATTTATTTATTTGTTTTTTTAGAGAGTGGAAGGGAAGGGGGAGAGACAGAGTGAGAGAAACATCTATGTGAGAGAGGCACATTCATTGGTTGCCTCTCATATTCGAGAGGTACATGCCCTTGACCATAATCCAACCCCGGACCCTTCAGTCCAAGGGCTGACGCTCTATCCATTGAGGCAAGCCAACACAGCTAGGGCCGTAACCATTCTTGAACTGGGGAAGGATCATTATAAAATGTCACAGATAGTCTGAGGAATGGGCAAGATTTGGGTAGGTGAGAGCTTGTTAATGTTTTTCAACTGTTATGGTTAATAAATTATATCTTATAAAAGACTCTATAGATGACATTAAATTCTCCTTTTCCTCTTTTAATAAAATTGAAAATATTTTTTATCATCATTCTAATAAAAATTCTTCCAACACATGAGCACTTTTTAAATGATAGTCCTTAAGCGTTGATGTTAAATAGACCCAACGAATTTACCCTTTCTTCATTGTTCTTTTCTATACTTAGGTGTAAACTCCTTTAGACAGGAATATGTCTATTTTAATAGATTCTGACCAGTGGATAATAAGGACTGTCCTGTTACATGGAGACATGTAGCAATACTTCCTCAAGAAAAGAATGCTGGCTAAGAGCTTATAAACAGAGTCAATTGATTCTTTCTTCATGAATTATTGTCAACCCCGTTTTATAGATGAGGACATTGAGGCACAGAAGTATTAAGTAATCTGAGCAAGTTACAAGGTGTGATAGTGGTGGCTAGTAATAAAAAGAGAAACAAACTTAGAAAACTGTGGTATATCTACACAAAGGAATACTATGCTGCGGTAAAAAAAAAAAGAAGGAACTCTTGCCTTTTGCAACAGCATGGATGGAACTGGAGAGTATTATGCTAAGTGAAATAAGCCAGTCAGAGAAAGATAAATATCACATGATCTCACTCATTTGTGGACTATAGAGAACAACATAGACTGATAAACAGGGACAGATCCAAAGACAGAGAAACAGCGATCAGACTATCACTTCCCAGAGGGAAAGTAGGGGAGGGTGGGGGTAAGGGGAAGAGATCAACCAAAGGACTTGTATGCATGCATATAAGCCAAACCAATGGATATGGACAACAGGGGGATGGGAGCATGAGTGGGGGAGGGGGGTAATGAGGGGGGGATAAGGACACATTTGTAATACCTTAACTAATAAAGAATTTTAAAAAATAAAAATAAAAATAAAAAGGAACCAGATTTTCCGCCAAAAAAAAAAAGAGAAACAAACATGGCGTGAATCTTCATTTTTAAAATAATTTCCTCAACAACTAGCCAACTTCATTACAAAGACTGATATTCTCCACACATACAATCTCTCAAAATTAGATAATAGTAAAGAATATGAGAGTGGAATTTTCCCTGATCCAGATCCATGAAGTCCCCATGTAATTTCTCATTCATTTGATGACTTACAATACTTTACCTTGCCCTTAGAAATACTTAAATTGGTTGTATCCAAAAAAAATATGCTAGATATTGTTCAAATATCTTCATCTTTATCATAATTTTGTTTGTAGATACTGATAACATATGATTCTTTCTTACAAGTCTCTCTGCCACAGAGAACATGGTTGTAAAATGCAAAGGGAATTAAGTAGGAAAAGGTTAAGCTCAAACATCTTTTTAGATGAACTCTTTTGGTTATCAAGACTTTCCAAACCCATGTTAGCCTCTTAGATAATGAATTTTGCAAAAATGGAAAACAAATTTCTTTGAACTTCACTACAAGGTTATGATGAACATGAACAATTAGAACATGAAAGTGAGTTCTGTTTCTAAGTATAAAAAAATTAAAATAATAATCACCCATAATTCCACCATTTAAAAACCCCCACTCAGCATTTCAGTACATTTATTTCCAGTATTTTTTCTCCCCTACTTTTTAAAACATAGTAAGTAGCCTACCTTTTAAAACCCAAGGTTTACTTGAACCATTTATTCAAGAAGTTTGTCCCATTGTCTTGGAGGAAAATTCCTATTGTCTCCCTATCCTCCTGTAATGTATTCATCTCTTCTAAGGCAATTCAAGTTTGTTGGGGTCCAGCCCTAGCAGGTCCAGGGGTTCCCCAAAGGTGTGGATGGAGTCGGCGAAGAAGAAATGACATGGAGACAGTGTTCAGATGATCAGCATAGTGAGGTTCTCTAGCCAGGTTCTAGCCAGGTTCTCCAGACAGCTTCTCCAGCCAGGTTCTGTGTTTCATTGTCTTGTTACATCTGTATTTATACCAGTTGATTTTAATCCTATCAATTTCTATTCCAAAGGTTAGGGCGTTTCTTATCTCCATTCCAGGGAGTAAAGATTATGTAGTTTAAGCGTGATTGTTCGTAGTTAAAGTGATTAACTACCCGCCTGGTATTTAGTTAAGGGGTTTTATTCCCTCCCTAACTCCAGGGAAAAATCCCTACCTGGGGAAACAACCTTTCTCGGAGAGGGTGATCTTGGTTAAAACACATAGCACCAAGAAGGGGAACAAACATATTAAGAACAGTATGCCATATACGACAGGTCCTTGAAACATATGTTGTGGAGATGTTTCTTCCCTGCAGCAACTGTGTCAAGCAGCAAGGATGGGCCGGCTTCCGGCACAGGTTATTGACAGAAAAATCAAATTATTTAAGCTATGCTGCTGTTTCTTTACCTATTTGGAAGATAAATTCTTCAGTTAAAATGAAAGATTGACTAAGCCCTAGATTATTAGCATGCATCCCTCCTGTCCAAAGGTGATTTAGCTATTCTTATTTAGTTGGTAGTTCTTACAGATGGGGTTTAAAGGTACATGCAATGAAAGGGTCAAGTTTAAGACTTCTCTAACCTTCTGCTCACCATCTCTGTTAATGGCCTTCCTGGGGTTAGAGATTTGTTTAATGATCAATAGAGGTTTCTATTGCTACCACTGAGCCTTTTGTAAAGTAGCATAACCAAGTCAATGTTTAACTGAATTCTTTGGGTCTGAAATGACAAAGTGGGAGCTGGAGGGAAGTCTCCATGGAAACCAACCTCCCAGGAAGTGGCCAGAAGGGTTAGTGTGTGGTGAAGTAGACCTACAAAGATGTCAGGAAGGAAACATCTGCTTTGGAAAGCAGGGCTAAACGTCTGAAATACCTTGATTAAAACAGCCTACGTTAAAGGCCCCACGCCACCTCCCTCATGGTTTTCCTTTGACTGTCTTTACTGTGAAATGGGCCTGAGCCACTCTAAGCCTCACCCGAGGGTGATCAAAGTGGCACCTTTGCAAAACAAAGAGGAAGAGACACCCTGGGCTGGTCCTGCGGAGTTTGCATTCACTCAGAACCTGGAAGAAAAGAGTACCTATTCGCTGGCCAGAAGGCAGGACCCGAGTAAAGCATGGGAAGGGCAGTTGCCCCCGCTACGAGAGACCTGGTATGGAAGATATTCTGCAGGTAAGCATGCAGCCCAGCATAAGATTTGTGTATTTGTGCCAAGCAGAGCTATTGGTAGGTTTGCCTGTCTAACCCCATAACCTCAGAAAGTTTCTCAATTACAGAAACATAAGGGGACATCTTTTGATGGGAGATTGAATGTCTGTCAATTGTTAAGTATTCTGGGTACGTGAGAATGGGTGTGTGAACTGCATAGAGGGCTTTTCTCTTTTTTTTAAGTATAATTAATATCAATTTTATTGTCTAACATTTTACATATGTCTTCTTTTTCCCATATGTCTCCTTTTTCCCCAATTGACTCCCCCCCAGCCATTCCCACCCCAGGCAAGCCCCCACCACCCCGGTGTCTGTGTCCATTGGTTATGCTAATATGCATGCATACAAGTCCTTTAGTTGCTCTCTAACACCCACCCCCCCCCACTTTTTGTCTCTAGATCGATCTATTCTTGTTCATCAAATTATGTTGATCATTATATCCCACATATGAGTGAGATCATGTGATATTTATCTTTCTCCAACTGGCTTATTTCACTTAGCATAAAGCTCTCCAGTTCCATATGAGAAGGAAAAATCCTTTTGTTTCAGTTTAGTTTATAGTGCTTTCAATGTTTATACCTAGCTTTGCCAGACAATTACAATTATTTAGATAAAGGTGTGATACCTTGTGACCATCATGTGTTTCCATCAGATTCTAAATTTAAATCATCCTCCCCAGTAGTGTTTAATGCCTCAGACTTTGTTATTTTGAAAGCAGCACTGTGGGAGTTCACTCTAATGTGAATTTGGAAACCGCCCCAAACAAAATTGATTTATTGCAGTACAGATAAGAGGATGAG